GACAATGTGCAACAGAGAAAAACACTAGATACAGCCTTCCCACTCAGTTAAGTAATGCCTCTCCTTGCAAAATACTGCAGTAATGCCATATATCTCTCTTGGCAACCTGAATGAAAGTGCTGTGTGCTGTATGGGTTTTTTTAGCAGGAATAAGGCCACCAGGAAGGGCCACAGCCAACACTTGATATAATGGTGTCAGAATAGCAAACGGGCTTAAGGACACAGGCAGCACTAGTGGATTCCAGGCAATTTTGGACTTTTTTGTAACAATTTCCCTTCTAGCTCTCTTTTCTGTGTTTTAGATATTAAACATTACCTGTTTATTCTTTTCCCCTCCACCAAGAGATAATTATCACTTCCCTTGATCGATACTGCTAATATTACCTCTGATCCAGGTATTAACTTCCTTTTCTCTCAGATTGCCTATTCACGCCTAAAGAAATTCAGAGAATTGTTCTCTAGTTCCACTCCAGTTTGAAGTTTGTTGCTTCTATTTTAGATCTAAATAAGGTATTTCCCTCCTCCCCCGTAGTGTTTACTTTCTAAAAAAATCTATGTTAGCTGATATAATAGGCTATTGCCTTAACCTGTAAATATCTTGTTTTATCATGTACCTTTAAAACTCAGCTAGCTTTCCTCCCAACCTTCACACTGACACCTGGCCTATGCACACAGTTTGATCTGCCCTTCCTTTCTAATACACAATTTATGCCAACACTACAAAGGCTAAAAGGAACCTGTTACACTTTTTTGTAAGTAGTAAAAGGCAGCTGTAGGGACTAATCAACAAGTACTGCATTTGATATTCTCTGTATATAATAAATACTACTCAGTCACATTCCCATTAGAGTACAAAACGTTCTTGCTTAGTGTTTAATAGAATTGCAAGAGATATACCACTACAGAGCAAACAGGAAATGTTAACTTCAGTCCTAGACAGAAAGTGACAAAAACCCCAAACCGTTAACCAGTAGTAGCAGAAAATTAATGAAGAATTTCTCTTAAGCTTACGACTTCTCTCAAGAGTCATACTTTCTTTTACAGGACATTCTCAACAGCTATGAAGTTCCTTGACGCCTCAGAAATGGCACTATGCTTAACTGCCTTGGACAAATAATTCATTCCCTCTAGCAGGAGATCACAGTTTGCATTAGTCATTTGACAGTAACACTACTCACATTCCCACACCGAGGTTACAGATGTTTGCTGACCTTAGGTGGAAGGGGTGGTTGGCCTACAGGAAATACAGCGAGGTTCCCAGTCCAACCCAGTCCCTGTCTGGAATACAGGGTTGCCTTTGTCCTGGGAAGTGCGTTTGTCTGTGTGTGAACAGACATGGGCAGGAAGGGGAAGTACTACTCCTTTTCTCCTCTTTAAATTAAAAAATAACAAAAACCAAAACGACAAACCTCGAGAATTAAACCCTCAAGCATCAGGATGCGGCTGACCTAGAGGATGTTCTAGGATTTCTGTTCCTTAACAGCTTGTTATTATTTATGGGTGTTGGGTTATTTTGCAAAAAGGCCAGTGAGCACTGACCTTTGCTGCACACATCCAGCTCCCACACCCTCCACGTTGACGGGTGCCCTCTTCTTCACCCCTTACAGTAGGGAGTTACAATAGCAGTAGCAGTTGCTGGCCAGTGGTGATCCCACCACGGCAGGCACTCAGACTTCAGTAAGTTATCACTTAAACTGTCGTTTATTAGAGCTCATAGAAAAGAGTAGATAGTACAGGCAGTCTTACGTCCCTTCAGAAGCTGGGAACGCTGAGCTGCACAGTAGTGAGAAGCACCCTGCTGAGGACACAGCAAGGCCCGTTTGCAGCAAAGTTACTCCGTGTTGATTAGTCAAGCAATTACGGGACTTTTCTCACAATGAAACACCTCTGTTCACCATCCCTACTGCACAACGGAAAGGATGCTCAGGCGGGCTCCGCTCCGCTCCGCTCACCCGCGGCGCGACCGCCAACTCCCCTGCGCGCAACGCTCTCCCAGCCCGGGTCGCTCCCAGGA